GAGTCCATCTTCAACATAACGAGTCCATCTTCAATATAACGAGTCCATCTTCAACATAATGAGTCCATCTTCAACATAACGAGTCCATCTTCAACATAACGAGTCCATCTTCAACATAACGAGACCAATCTTCAAAATAATGAGTCCATCTTCAACCTAACGAGTCCAATCTTCAGCATAACGAGTCCAATCTTCAGCATAACGAGTCAATCTTCAACATAACGAGTCCAATCTTCAACATAACGATCCAATCTTCAACATAACGAGTCCATCTTCAACATAACGAGTCCATCTTCAACATAATGAGTCCATCTTCATGTATAATGAGTCCATCTTCAACATAACAAGTCCATCTTCAACATACAAGTCCAATCTCCAATATAACGAGTCCAATCTTCAACATAACAAGTCCATCTTCAACATAACGAGTCCATCTTCAATATAACGAGTCCATCTTCAACATAATGAGTCCAATCTTCAGCATAACAAGTCAATCTTCAGCATAACAAGTCAATCTTCAACATAATGAGTCCATCTTCATGTATAATGTAGGTACCCAATGATATTTTATCAAGTGTGAATAAAATAATAGAATCTGATTTTCAAACAAAATTTGCAATTTTTTTTGTTGAACATAATTTTTTTAAAAGCATCGTTAGCCTTTTCATCATACTAAAGATAATATACATACAAACAAAAAAAGTTCAAATTCAGGTTTTTAGTTGAAATCATATCTCTTATTATAACACCTACATGCTGGATAACTTGTAGATTCCAAAAAATGTGTCCACTGTCACATCAACCAACACAAACTTACTGTCACCAATCCTAAACGCATTCTCCTTAAAATTACTTACCACCTATAAAACACACAAATAACCTATACTGGTTGACAACTTTCACATCATAACACAAGACATTACAATCAGTCATTTTTCCTCATAAACCTCTAATTTCTTATAAATGAGACTCTAATATCAAAGATTTACTTGTTCGTGGCCATCTTCCAAATAGCATAAAAAACTTGTCATACTTTAGTACGTACAACTGTTGAATCACAGGATATCTGTTTGGGGCCTTATATTAGTCCACTTAGTATAGATCCATGGTGTGCAAGCCGTTAGTAGGGGGCATGCAACTATGACTATAGGAATATGTAAATTATATCTGAAAGCAAAAAGTGAAGAATAAAAAGGTTTTGAAAACTTATGCTACATACCACTTTAACTTGTTTTATTTTATACAACAAAATGCATGTTTAGAAAGGGTGGTACCATAAAAATAGTTGCTCACCACTGATATAGATCACCAATACAATTGGCTGAGATGCAGCTATAAGCTTGTCCTAATTCTCAACCATGCTTTGCTGTACATTTTATACAATGACTGTGATACTTTTCTCCTCTTTCATATTGAACAAACTGTTGTGGACTGCTGTCAATGGATCTAAACTTGGGTTCACCTGTAATGAGGGCATATCTATAGATTTTCTCATTTCTTGGTTTGTCAGCCAATGCCCTTTTCAAACATTTAGTTTGGTTATCTTTTCTCAGCAGCAGTTTTTAAGTAGTTATATGTCCACTGAGACAATTTCATATGTATCTTATTGTTCTTGAGGTAACTTTTATACCCGTGTTTACAGCAAGGCTTCTGGCAAGCTCCATATTTGACACTTTCATACAGACTCCTTAGAGTTATTTATGCATACAGCTGCTATTGAAATATGGAATCTTGAAGCAATTTTTCACATGGAGCATCCTTCAACAGTATTCTTTCTGAAATATGGAATCTTGAAGCAATTTTTCATCCTTCAACAGTATCCTTTGAATTCTACATGTTTGTTTTGCAATATTTCAGTCCTGGGAACCATAACTGGATTTATAGTGCCAACACAGGGCATACGATGACAGACTCTACTTTAATACACACTTTCGGGTTAGTTGGATGACAACCAATCACAGTGTAAACTTCAAGCATATGATTATACTCTAGTACAGTTTGTTTTCAAATAATAAAGGGCTAACATATTATTTGTCTTTTAAACATTTTTCTCCTCACCACTTCCATAATTACTTCCAATACTGTACATGAATATGTAGTATTTGTCTACTGAAACAACTTAAATAATATTAAAAATGTTGTCTTTCCATAAGCTTTCTCTGTTTACTATTATTCCGTGATACAAACTAGTTGGTACCACAAATGGGGAGAAAGGAACACTAGTGTGGTCAAATATATTTCTGACACATGGGCAATAAATCACATGTATTGTGTTAACATTCAGAACCAAGTCACATAGTTGTTGACAGCATCAGAGCAATTAAACAAAAAAAAAGCTTTTAGTATTTCAGAGCTAAGTGTACCTGATTTCAACACCTTATTTTCCTATATATAGTAACAAAACCGAATAAGAGATATTTGTGGATAAATATAATATTTTAGAAACATATTTCTTTCCAATATTTGCCTCTTTATTATTAGTCTTAACCCACAAAACAAAATATACTGGGAAAAATTTCACAATTATTTTACCAAAAGAAAATGAATAATTATCACAAAAAATTTATTTATCTATTTTAATTACAAAATAAAAATAAACTTTATATTAAGTAACAGAATGCATCTTTATTATACGAGTTAAGCTAAGGATATAGTCCAGTATATGCAAAAAACCTTATTATACAAAGAAGAATTAATTTATGAAGTTATTACAACTTTAAAATAAAACACTTTTAATTAAATACAATATACTACCTTGTGATAAATTTGTGAAGGTGAAGTAATTAGAGTTGGACAAAAGGATGTCACTCCATATCTAAGTAATCCTTTAGCAACTTTCTGGATACCTCCCTCTACATCATCAACATTATGGGAGAAATCAAGGCCAAAACCTCCTAAATAATTATTACAAATGGAAAAAAGTATACAATTAATAATAGAAAGGCAAGCTTTTAATTTTGATGCTAAATAAAAAATCATTTTGCCAACAAACATGAATGTATCTGGGCCTAGCAGGCTTAGACTTACTGCCTCTTAATATTTAAGTTTCAATTTCCAAAATTATATTTAAAATACTTAAACACTTAAGGGCAGCTTACCTTAGTTCTTAACAATTTAAAAATATTAATAAAATCATCCTTAGGACTTTTACCCTCCAAATTAATAAAAGGAAATTTGTTTGTAATTTTCACAGTTAAAAATTGTTTAACCAACAAAGTGTTAATACAGTAGTAAATCATTCCAACAAGTATTCATATTCTTCCAACTGTACGTAGAAACGGAACTGCAAGTAGTATTGTAAATAAGAAATAAATGATCTTATACAAAACCCTTCATACTCTTAAATTAACTCTTTCAGCATGAGCTCAGTCCCTGAAACTTACTTCATAACCATTTTGTGCTTGTTATAGTTTTCCTGTTATAACTTTTAAATTAGTAAGTGAACATTAACAAAATTTGGCAGATTATCAGTAAACATTACAATGCTTTCATATGTAAAATATCTAATTTTTTATTAAGTCTTAAGGTTTGTAAAGCAATGTTTCTCCAATACCTATTTTTTCTTTTCACATGTTACCTATCTAACATGCAAAGTAATTTTCATTTTAAGATTAAAAATACTTTTATGAATCAGAAAATTTTCAAATTTCACATGCGAAATCTTTATAATGTTCAGATAGTTATCAAATGTTTCTTAAGAAAAAAATTTTATACTTTATCTGTTATTTTCAGTAAAGAATCCCTGTACAGATTTAGTAGATTTGACCAATCTCGTAACCACCATAGAAAATAAGGAAATAAATATAAATTATGTCTCTTTCATTCTAGATTGAACACAAATTATAACACAAAAACATAAATCTTTAGTCTAAATAGCTTAAATATCATAACATTATACATTTATATATATTTATGATTTTTATTATATTGACCTTTCAGCAGTGCCTGGCTAACAATACAGAAGTTACAATGACATGGCACACGTGCACTCATGTTACCGTATCAAATAACTTGTCTTGTCTTTGTAAAATACAGTCACATTTCAATTATTATACATTATATATGTAAATAGATTATTGCTA